ATGTGTTGGGAAACATTTAAAAGGCAAATGTATTTATTTTGTTTTGTCTTTATCTAGTTGTCCCACATTGCTTGGCTAACCCATTTTTTCTACCCTTTTATACCCCAATCCTTTTTAAAAGGCTTGAAGTGTTATGGAGAGGGAATAAGGGGAAACCATGCGTGTTGCAATTGTTGCTTGTTAGGTTTATTAGTTTGCACATGTGTTGTGATTGGTATTTTGCACTCTGTCATAATGTACGACCCCTATTTTTGTGGAAAATTGGTCACCCTGTCCGCATTCCATTCACAACTGTGGAACGTGCGTGTACATGGAGTTGGTCATCTCCACCCCATCTTTATGGCTGGTATGGGATGTGCGGTTATAGCTAACAGTATATAATCGCCTTTCCCCTTCACTCTGGAAGAACGAAGAAAGCCTTCTACCTACGCATACATTTTGCTTGAATTTATACAGGTTCAGTCATGTTCATATGTGTGTCCTGTCGAGAGCATGCAATACCCTGACCGTAAATGTTTTTAAGGTAGTGTTCACGAACACGACACAGATATCAACTTCTTTTCTGACGTTCATATCCCAGCCACATTAACACAATAGCCATACTTCCTGCCTACAACATTGTAGTTTTTCCAGTCCAGAATTCACCTTTCAAACCAAAGGTACAACACTATATGTTGGTAAAACATTTAAAGATGAAGGCCTTTTTGTCTTTACTTGTTGTCCCACATTGATTTCTTAACTAACCTTTTACTCATTTATAAAGCTCAACACTTTAATTTCTCTCATTCATTTTTTGTGGCTGGAATAGAGAGAAATGTTATATTGTTTAGTATATAAACAACCATTTTCTCTCTTTGGTAGACACACCTTTTTCCATTCGCATTTCTCTTCCCCTTGAATAAGGGGAAACCATGCGTGTTGCCGCTGTTGCTCGTTAGGTTCAGTTTGCACATGTGTTGTGATTGGCATTTTGCACTCTATCATAATGCTCAACCCCTATTTTTGTGAAAACTTGGTCACCCTGTCCGTATTCCATTCACAACTGAGGAACGTGCGTGTACATGGAGTTGGTCATCTCCACTCCATCTTTATGGCTGGTATGGGATGTGTGGTTATAGCTAACAGTATATAATCGCCCTTCCCCTTCACTCTGGAAGAACGAAGAAAGCCTTCCACCTACGCATACATTTTGCCTGAATTTATACAGGTTCAGTCATGTTCATCTGTGTGTCCTGTCGAGAGCTTGCTATACCCTGGCCGTAAATGTTTTTAAGGTAGTGTTCACGAACACGACACAGATATCAACTTCTTTTCTGACGTTCATATCCCAGCCGCATTAATACAATAGTCATACTTCCTGCCTATGACATTATAGTTTTTCCAGTGCAGAATTCACCTTTCAAATCAAAGGTACAACACTATATGTTGGTAAAACATTTAAAGATGAAGGCCTTTTTGTCTTTACTTGTTGTCCCACATTGATTTCTTAACCCACCTTTTACTCATTTATAAAGCTCAACACTTTAATTTCTCTCATTCGTTTTTTGTGGCTGGAATAGAGAGAAATGTTATATTGTTTAATATATAAACAACCCTTTCTCTCTTTGGTAGACACACTGTTGAGTTATCTTTTGTCCAAGCATATTCGCCAAGGTGGAGATTGTTGAGTTTGTGGATTAGGAATATGAGTTTGTCTCATACTAGGAGTAGGAGTGAAACGGGTAGACCCTTTGTACAGGGATTAGATGCCTATAAATATATTGGTTGTATCCCTAAGGGGTTGTGTCACCACTATCACCATCACAAATAATAAGAGTATTGTTTCACTCCCGTGGATGTAGGCACATTGCCGAACCACGTAAATCTTGCCCTCTTTACCTTATTTACATCATCATTTGTTTCTTGTTCTTGTTAATCTCAACACACACCTTTTTCCATTCGCATTTCTCTTCCCCTTGCATTTCTTGTCTGAGCATTAAACTGTCAGGCTCATCGTTCTATGTTCACCCGTCAAAAGCTTACGATATCTCTAGTCGTAAAATACTTTTAAGGTAGTGTTATAAAAACACGTCACATAACATTCCTTTCTTTCCTTCGTTCATACAAAGCCAGCCTACAACAAACGTACGTTTTGTACGACATTGTTCATCCTCCAGCTAGATTGCTTCTGCTACTTACGTTACCCAACACTATATTCTATAAATCGAATGGTTTTAGGTCTATTTAATTTTTAACTTAACCGAATTTAAAAATCAAATTATATATATATATATATATATATATATATATATATATATATATATATATATATATATATATATACACACACACACACACACCTAATTGTTTTTATATTTATAAATTTATCCAAATATATATACTAAATCCCTAACCCAAGAGTTCAAATTATTCTTTGTTCCTAATTTTTCTCGTCGAGTTTGCGACATTGCTGACCGATGGCAGACACATGTGAAGAGATCGGTTTAGTTTGGACTTCTTTTAGAGTTAGAAATTTAAAATATTCTTCCAAAAGGCTGAACCCCAACCCTAAGGGCCCCCCACACCCCGACCCGACAGAGCATTTGGGAGGATGTAAATCATGGTAACTCAACTGAACATGAACCACAGAGGCTAGACCGTGCTCACTGCACACAAGGAACCCCCTCACTTTTAGAAATTTAAAATATGCATTGTGGACTTGTTGTTTAGATTTTCAAATTTAAATTATTAGTGAAAATAAATAAATAAATATGTGTGAAAGAAAATTAGAGAATATTTGAGTTCTCAAGCCGAACTAAAATTTCAAACAGAATGGTTTCATTTTTTCAAAACCAAAAAAATTGAAACCAAACCAAAAATCGAAATGCCCACCCCTAGAAAATGATGTTTTTCTTTCTTATATTTATTTGGAATAATAATTTCAGTTTTATAATTTGTTTATGTGAGTAGTATTGACTCTTCAAATTTTTAAAGATAGTAATTTTGACAGTTTTTGTTTTTTGGTTGACGTAATGGTTGAGTATTTTAAATTATAATATTGTCTCTATATTGACTATGCAATACAAAAGTGATAATATCTAATGGTCTATGGATGTCAAATTTATCATCTTATTAAAAAAAAAAAATTAAAGAATCAATAATACTCTAGTCAATAAGTGTGCTAAACGATTACTTTTCGAGGATAACATGCAACACATAAACATAGTCTCTTTTATCATGGATGAGACTTTAATATCAATACATAATACAACAAATATTATTTTGGGAAAATGGCACTTTTTCCCCCTTTATTATATACTTATAGCACTTTTTCCCCCTAAATTATTTAAGTGGCAATTTTTCTCCCTGATATATTAAATGGACATATTTACCCTTAAAATAAATATTTCATTTATTTTTCTTCTCCAACAAATTATAACCACGATTTGAAAAAATAAAATACATTAAGTGTTAAATTTAGAATATTTTAAAAATAAAAAAATAAAATTTTAAAAGAAAGTTTGAACCAACCGTACAAATTGGATCCAAAATCGTGAACCGACGGTTCAAAATAAAACTCAAATTGCGATTATATATACTTATATGTGAGAGCCAATATAAATGCGGAAAAAAACATACACTATTTGCAAATATTATAATTCTAATTTAAGCTATTGCTAGTAGTTGTTCCGATTTGAACCTCCGGTTCACGGTTTAAGATCCATTTTTTTTCCAGTTCACGATTTTAATAAACGGAAACCCAAATATTGGGTTATGTTATGAATCATAACCGAAATTTTTTTATTTGATTGCTATAATGTTTGGTTCAGTTCGAACCGAACCGTGGTCATCCCTACGTATAAGCAATAATTTGGTGAAGAAGAAAAATAAATAAAATATTTGTTTTAAGGGTAGAAATGTCCATTTAATATTATCAGGGGGAAAAACCGTCACTTCTATAATAATTGAGGGGGCAAATATGAATGCATGAATAACTCAGGGGGAAAAAGTGTTATAAGCATATAACACAGGGGGAAAAAATGCCATTTTTCCTATTATTTTTCCTAGAAATTAAATTTGAAATTTTTCATATAAACTTCAAGTCTACAACAATCTCTCTTGAAATTCATAGTAGCCCAATTTCCCAAAATCTATTATGGACCATCCCGCAGCCTAAACGAACACCAATTTGAATGAACCCAACTTTTCTTTTTCTTTTTAATAGGAGAACACCTATTTTGACTTAATATAATTCTACGTAACAACATATATTATTTACGGAAAAATCTACCATCACTATCCGAATGTACATTCTTGATAAAGTCTGCCTTGTAATTTTAGCCGACAAGAAATTAAATCAGTCTAAATTATTCATACCTTACCAACTCAAACTAAGAATGGTACAAAGTAGCTCTTGAGATTGAAGTTGAAACTTTGTAATTACCAATCTAACTGTTTTACTGACTCGAGTCCTCTATATGACAACATTTAATTATACATGATAGAGTAATTATACATTATTATAATTATACTTAGCCAAGTCAACATCAGAAAGAGTCCAGTCTCCTCTAGTCAACATGACAACATCCGATAAATTTCCTCTTTGTACCTCGGATGACAAAGTCATCATTGTATTTCGTACTATGTAATTTTTTTTAAGAATAATTGTTTAACTTTAATTTTTCAAATTTTTAAGTCACTATTATTTATTGATTTTAAAATTAAATTTGCCGTTTCATTAATTTTTTTTTATTGAAATTGTAAATGTAAATTAATTAATAATTTAATTTTCTGAAATTTTAAAACAACTTACTTCTAAAACTAGAGAAAAAAGTTAATAATTAATTTTGTTTGAAGACTTCAAGCAATAGTTTTCGTATGCACAGTTATGTTTCGCAGTCTTCTTCGATTCGTTCGAAGAAGTCAATGGAAGAAGACGATGGACTAACTGTAACTAACAACTGCCGTCTTGGACTTAGCCTCTGATTCATGAAAATCGGTAAGATCCATTGCAGAAAGAATTAACAAATACAGAGTAGATAAATAGTAAGTCTGGTGTGATTTAGTTAAACTATATTACTTTCTTTTTATAAAAAAAAAAGTAATATATTTAAACTAAAAAGAATTACAATGGATGTTATACAATTTACAACACAGAATTTCTAGCAAAAATGATAAATTAGAAACCAAAAGGTCAGGCGCCTAGAGCGTTGAATATGTTCTACACATCCATCATCCATGGTCATCTCCGGTGGCGTGAGATCATTGGAGAAATGAAGGCCGTCTCTGGTCAGTTAGCGGCGAAAGAATTATACTTCCTTCTCTCTCTGTAAGCCTATATGCAAAGATCATATCATTGAAACTTTCGCAGTTGAACTAGCATCACACTCACATCGTCAAAAGAGCCTCGTGAGACTGAGAGATCGACGAGCTTCCTGCAGGCTGACAGCAGTTGGGGCTTCTCTGAGTCTGTGCATAACGGACGAACAGCATCTACAGCTTCCTGATTACTAACCTGCAGAGCAGACGAGCACGTTTGTTGGTTTAGTTTAATCCCAATATCCATAGATGTTCTGGGAGATAGATCAAGTTCAAGATCATAGATTTTCTGTTTGAAAGATCAAGTTCGAGATCAATCACCTTATCCCATAAGCCATCGGATGCAAGGATCAAGAATTCGAGTTCATGAGTAAGGGGAAGAATTCTGGTTTCAGGTTCTGCTATAACCCATTGTTTAAGATAACAATCTCCAATACTTCTGGACACTGCCAGGGATCCCTGGATTCGCCAAACGCCATGGCAATAATCCACATAGCCACCCTATATCAAAGCACAAACAGGTCGGTCAGGCGCTATTCAGATATAGTATCATCACACAACCAGTTCAAGAAAACGAGCTTACCGAGGCCTCAATTCTACCCTTTTCATCAGTCCTCGAAGGGCGGTGATCGGATGTCAGTGGCTCAGCAACCCCTCCTCTACTCACAACAGCCCGACAATCACCAGCATTCGATACCACTAGATTGCCTTTCCTGATCAGGGCTGTGACACAGCAAGCCCCGCCTCGAAGATCTTGCTTGAGAAACTCGGAATCTGTGTTCAAATATCCCCACTTCACAGCCTCCTCAGTGTTGTCATCCCCCCTCTTCTCAACCTCATCAACAATATTCATATCCAAATTCTCTGCTGCAAACTCTGCAGCTTTTGCTCCTCCATGCCCATCAAATACACCAAAAACAGCCTGAAATAGCAGATTCCTTTATTGCTTTATGATGCAGTACTCGCTAATTTTAATCTCCAGTTCATCTATACATTAATTAAAAGTCCCTAAAAAATCTAATATTTTTGGTAACAGAGCACAAAACAACCAAATTCATAATTTCAAAAAGCTTGAGAATCTAAGATTGAAACTTGAATATAAACTAGAGGATACCTGTTTGGAATCGTGGTGAAGGTTCACCTTAGCCGAGTACCGATCTTCCATAGCAAATCCTCTTCTTCCGCGCTTACAACACACCGAAAACTCATCGCTCTCAAACTCCACCACGCTCTCCATAGCCGCGGGAGTCGGCGGAACATTCCCGAATCCCATCGACACAATTGGAATGTCCAATCTCGCCGGCCGCTTCCGCTTCAAAACAGTCGGAGAAGTGGACGCGGAACACTCGGAAGAAGCTCGGTTTAAGCCGCTGGGCGGCGGTTTGTGGAGCCGGAGAATCCGTAGCGGTGAAGACGGCGAAGAAGAGGAGGAAGCTGCTCCCGACGGGGAATGGATCCGGGATAGGGTGTCCGGCGACGAGGAAGATCCGGCGGCCGCCTTGCATGGAAGAGAAGAAGAGACGGAAACCCTAGAGGGAGAGAAGACCGGAGAACTGGAAATCGCAACGGTACAAGACATCATTTCTCTAACGTTCAAATTTTGATTTTTAGGTTTTCTGATTTATGGAGATTTGGAAGGGAAAACAGAACGGGCTTTATATACAGGAAGGGAAAGTGGGGTAGGCTTTCTAGGTAATAGTCAAAATGGTCAAAATGGGCCCCACAATCTCGCCTTCCCCGTGTTTTAAGAAGAGATTTTTTCGCAATGCTTTTGACCATAAATTTGTGCACCCTAATCTAACATTGTCTCAAAATGTAATTTACTTTACCAATTTTTATCAATATTTTTTTAGTCGAGACCGCTATATAAGAACGACGTTTACTATATACGCATCTTGTAATTTTTTTTTATCATTTAAAAAAAATTATTTTTTTATCTCATTTTATATGTCATTTTTACCATACATTATTCAAACTAACTATTGTTCTTTTGTTTATTTTCTTTAATATTTTTTAATTTAATAGTATTTTTAATATAATTTTGAAATATTTAAATTTTATATACTAATATTAAACTCAACATTATGAAAACTAAATTAAAAATAACTTCAGTTAAACATCATTAATTGAACCATATACATAAAATGTGTAGGTAAACTAAGGAATTGTTTCCCCTTTTGCCCCTTCAATTTTGAATGCATTTCACTGATAGTTAGTCTTTTCAACTAGTTTTTCAATTAAATACCATTTGAAACCTATATGTTCATTGTTCATAATTACTTAATAAGGCTAAAATATTAAGACACGTGATTTTTCTATCGTAGAATGCACATGCTAGTTTCATAAAACAAATTGTTAAAAAATTCAAAGTCAAATGACTAATAGTAGAAATAATTGTAGTTAGGGATTATGAGTTCTACTATGGAGACTTCCAAATTCTACTCTATCAATTATATTTCTGGGTAAGCATGAATAGGACATTTTCATCTTGTGGGTCCAGAAAAAGTAGTCTTAGTCCAAGATTTGTAAGAGGAAGTAAAAATTGAGAATAAAATTTAAGAGTACAAATAGTATTTTTTCAATGATTATGAGTCAAAAACTCAAAATCAAATTCAAACATCTTAATATTCGACTATAGCGAATGTAATAGAGTTTTTTCTTTTCTTTTTTTTTTTTAAAAAAAAAAATATTTTTTATATAAATATCATATAACTTGTAAAAAATGTCTTGTTTTTGAGAAAAAATTGTCAAATTTTATGTTGCAGATTTTGTCAAACACGCTGTTTAAAACGGATGAAAAGGCTTCTAGAATGATCTGTTGACTTATAGAAGTGGTAGTTTTTTTTTTTTTTTTTTTTAAAGATATAGAAGTGGTAGTTGTATTTTCAAAAAAAAAAAAAAAAATGAAGTGGTAGTTTTCTGAGCGTAACATGCCGACACGTGGCGTGCAGTCAGACTCAAATATGCAAAAAAGTAGCCGTTGCAGCGTGGTCGGCTGCCATTGGCCCTTAGCCAATGAGGGGTACGTGGTTGGGTGCCATTGGTTTGACTACGAGGACGCGTGTTTGGACGCCATTGGTTATTGACCAATGAGGGCACGTGGTTTAATAACATTGGTTTGCCCATGAGGGTACGTGGTTGGATGCCATTGGTTCCTCACCAATGGGGGCACGTGGTCAGATTTCATTGGCTAGCGCCATTGACCGTTCTGATCTCTCGTCAGACCCACCTTCATTAATTTCTCCGAAAAGAAAATCAAATGACGTCATATATACACTATTGACTGAGTATAATATAATGGAAAAAACATTAACCTTGTTCACAAAGACGAAATTTTCTCGTCCCACACCCTCATATCTCGATCCGATAAGGTCCTCATATCTCGGTCCGACAAGATAATAGATATGTAAATTACAGATAACTCAGTAGAGACTAATACCTAGTGAGAAAAACATTAATCTTATTGATGATGATGCATTAAAGGGGAAAATATGCAGCATTTCTTGAAAAGCTAAAACCACCCAAAAACAAAAATCCCCTTCAAGGCTTCACTACATCTGATCCTTCAAGACAGATTTTTTGTACACCAAAATGCAAGAACATAACAGTCAGCAGATTCATGTTTTCGGAAAAACCTATGTACAACAAATCTACACTCCCGGTTCTTATCAGTTGTTACGCCAGCTTAGCTTCCACAGGCTGCAGCGTTCTCCTGCGCTGGTAGCATTTGAACGTCTCGTCTTCCTTCTGCTCAGCGCTTGTGGCCGAGTAATCCAACGTCGCTTTATCTGAGCAGAGAGGAAGCGTTGATTTGAACTGCGTGTAGAGATTCAAAAAGGCGTTTAGTTGTGAAGACAGGATATGATAGTAGTAAAAGGAATGAGAGTGTGGTGGGGTTTAAGGAAGAGAAATTGTACCTCGAGAACTAGAGGAGCTGGGGCGCTGTCGTTGTTGGCACTAGATCCTCCTCCGCTTGGCCTGAGAAAAGCATAGCAGACAATCCGGTTATAATCGGTTCTGGTTTTAATATACTCCCAACGCACCCATGAACTGGCTCGGGTCGTTCAGAGCTTATCTCGTTTTTACTACAAGGTCGTCGACCGTCATAACAGTTATATTATTATTATTTTTTTGGTCAGACCACAAGGTGTCCTGAGCAGATCCTAACTGTAGGAGGCACCTTTAAGCCTGTATTATACTCAGACTAATACCCGTTCGCACCGGGCCGGCCCAATTAAGGGGCAAAGTGCTGGCCATATTGGTTTTTCCATACGAGAGGGAGTTTGAACTCCCGACCTCTTTTAAAGGACGAGAGTGCACGGCCACTCACGTCAACCAAGCTGGTTACAGTTATATTATCATGATTTTTATTGCAATGAAATGGAAGCGACCGAATCATTTAGTTCTATAATACTATCATAACTGATTCACGTGACAATAGCATAAGGGAGGAGGAACATACTCCAACGATGCTTGGTCGACAGTTTCGCTCCCGTTAAGTTCTTCGCCTTGGAAGACCTCGGAGATTGTGATATTCCCATCCAAGTCAGCATTACCGTTATTGTTATGGTCGAAAGACTGCTGATCTGCTTCTGCATTAAGGGCGTTAAAACGTTGAATCTAAATCCATAGAAAAGATCTCAGCTTCTCTTCAGAAAGGCGGAATACGGTTTACCTGCTGCTGATACACTCGAGTCGATGGATGGGACGTTTGTCAACAACTTTTGACACATGATTGTGCCGTGGAAATCAAGGAATGTGTATTTCAAGAAGTTCAATCTCTCGGAATCTTTCATCTCTTTGAAACCAAACGATGTGGTCCACGTGTCCAATGCACTGGAAACAGCCGGCAAAACTAGCCTTTCTACTCCTAATTCCACAAGTTGCTGGAAAACAAGTAGCAAACGGCGTAAGCAACCAATCAACCGTAATAAAATTTAGGGACTCGGAAGTTCTTCTCGTACAAAAAGAGTTCATAAACGAAAAAATTCTCAACCATCTTAGTGAATTTATAGCTCAATGAATCAACAATTAATAACTCATTAAAGTACCTTCTCAAGCTCGTTCATCAGAATTCTACACATCCCATGTCGTCGATATTGAAACCTCGTGGCAACAAGAGGTATTTCAGCGACTTTCTCGTCATGGACCCTTAATATGGCAAGTATTTCAGGTCAGTGTTTAGGAAACGCAAAATTGAGACACAATTTATCCTAACTTTATAATTACGAGGTACCTTACAGTAGCCACAGTAATCAGCTCATCGTTTTTCTCCAAAACCACAGTATAGAATCCTTGAAAATTTAGCCGGTTCAATTCAGACCTGCAATATGAACTTAATATTAGCCAACAAATCAAAACAGTTCCTATTACCTGTATGTGCCCGTCTGCCCGAAAGAAAGTCTAAATTAGCGATGAAATTTAGGAGTAAAAGAGAAGTTACAGTAAAATTTCCTGTAAGACAAAATGGCATGATGAATCTAGTAATCAATGGACATTACCATAAATAACAAACTTATTCAATTCTAAATCACGAATAAAGACGGATCACAAGTCATATTAAATGAAAGCAGAAAGCTTCCCAAAAAAAGAAGAAGAAGAAGTGAATATGGAGATTTCTGAAATACATAAAATCTCACCATCTACTAAAGATAACGTCTTTCATGAGATCCCTCCGGGTTCGAGATTCTTTGACGGGCTCAAAACACTCATGCATCACGCTAAGAGCAACGCTAAGTTTGCCATAATTCTCTGCCATAGACTCATCATCAGGGGCACCGTAATAAGAATCATTCGGATTTTTCAGCAATGTCCAAGTTAGCTTATCAGTGCCCACTGGAATTGGTTTACCCAACAGCTGACGAAGTCCCAAAAAAATCTGCAGAGAATATACGGGGCAATAATTTCAGTGGCAAAGTTGACAAAAACCGCTAGTACAATAATACACTAATACTTGATACTAAAATATTAAATATTAACCTAATTACCTAAAGAACATCTATAAATCCTATAATTGTAATTGTAAATTGTATACAAATGACGGCTTTGGACTGGAGGACGAGTGGAATTAGTTTGGCGGAGGAAAAACGATTTAGGAATTAGACAATTAGTAAGGTGATTTTCTTTTTAGGGCTATTCGCTCAAAACGATGTCGTCTTGAGCGAATAACCCCTTAAAAAAAAAACGGCACACAGTGTATATTCGGCCAGCTAGGTGGCGCCTAGGCCGCCTAGGTGCCTGGCCGCGTAGAAGGCCAACTCCGGCATTGCTCGAGGCGGCCGGGCACCGATTAATCGGCGCCTAGGCGCGATTTTTGCAACATTGTTGAGTAGGAATTGAAAACTAAAAGGTGCCATAAATGTGTGATGTACCTGTTCACATCTTGTATTGCAAAACCAATTTCCTTTAGGATAATTGTCCGGCTCTGAACTCTCATCTCCAATGCACCGATAATGATCTGCAACAATGCCATCATCGTAATGATAAATCAAACCAGGTAAAAGGCTGTACAATTATCCAAGAATAGATGTGCGTGTGTGCATGCCAACATGTGTGTATTCCTGAGATTCGTGTAGATGAGACAGCACTTACATTGATGCCCGCACTGATAACAGCAGAGAATGTTATTATCTGCGAATTGGTCATTGCTTTTATCGAACCCACTCTGGCCACAGATTCCACAACAGCATGACGGGCAGAACCAGTCGCCATCCGGAATAACCTGATTAAGCGTGAAATGCAGTTAAATATCAATAGTAGGTTGCACCTTATTTTATCAATGTGGGACTCTTAACACTCCCCTCAGGTGGACAACCGGGCCATTTTGAATCTAATCGACCCTCCCCCTGAAATGAAAGGGCCTTTGAATCTAAGGGTGGTTGACCACTTGAAATTGGACCGGACCCTCCCCTGAAACGAAAGCTCTAGACACAAACAGGGCTCTGATACCATGTTATAAACTAAGATTGGGTTAGGGTCACTCAACTGGGCTATAATGCACATGGGCCAAACCACACTAAAAGATTGAATCCAACCCTCTCTTATTTTATCAATATAATGGACTCATACAGAACCAGTCTCCATTTTGAATCACCTGATTAAGCACAAAATGCAGTTAAATATCAATTTTAGTAGCCCCTTTCCTTTTCTTTTCTTAGTTGTTGTTTTAATTACAATACATGACTCGTATAGAAGCAGTAGAATTGAACAACAGAACAATTATTAGTAGGAGATACCTTCATACCAAGGCAACTAGCATGAAATGAGGATGGGCACCGATCACATAGAATTAAATCACCACCATCGCGACAGATAGAGCATATATGGTCATTTTGGTTAAGATGTCGACTCCCTTGCACCATACGGGGTTCTGTCTTTGAGTTTTTCACGCTACTTTTGTGTTTCATCTCCAACTGGCACTGAAGTAACGATCTTCCATCTTCCAAAAAGATATTTGCCGAAGGCCGGTGATTAGTGCTTCCTGCATGGATTTCGAAGTTGCTAAGGCTATAAACGTTCTGGCAGCAGTTGCATTTGATTCCATCCCGAGTTATTTTCCCCTCCTTCAATGGGGGGTCATCTTTCCTTCCACAATATCGCACAATTGTCTCAGGAAGAACCACATTATTGTCGATCAACCAAGATAAAATGGTGCGAGGTGTCTGATGAGAGGAAGAAAGAGCGGCCTGCCTAGCTCTTTTACTTGATCTTAGCACACGGGGTGAAGATTTGGTATCTGCAACCTCTCCTTCTTCAATCGAACCCCTAGATTCATGGAAAGAAAGCTTTCTCTTCGTTCTCGATTGACTGGTCCTCTGCCCGTTTTCTGTGGGAAAAGTATCAGGACAGGACGCACTTTCTTCAAAATACCAATTGCAAGATGTTAGAAGTGAATAAAATACTTTTCTGGTAGGAGACACATAACGAAATTGATTCTTGCCTCGCCCCCAATAATTAAAGACTTTCCATCCGCTAAAAACTAGATGCTTCTTAGCTTCATAAGCGAGCCGTGCTATTTCCTTTTTAGAGCGAATGGCATTTTCTTTTTGACACAACACATAATCATTCACTGCTTGAGGGCAGTATTCAGGATCAATGACGACTTCTAAGGAAGGCGGGGGGCATGAGGTGAACCCATCGGGTGAGCTGCCCAATGTAATATCGAGTGAGCTATCGGGAGAGACATCCTGCCTTCTTGTCACGGGAACCATAGAAAGAGATTCTGATGCGGTTTCAAACTCATTACACGCTTGAGAAAGTGACATATATAACTTCCCAGAAGGTGAAAAATATCGTAACCTAGTAATTTCACTATCCTTTACGCACTCGATTTTCCAGCCCAGATATAAAAGATGTTGCCTTACTTTCGAATGTAAGACTGCTTTTCGACGGCTCAGCTTGAACTTTCTTTGGAACTGAATAATTGCATCGGGGCAAAACTCCGCTTCAAGAGCCAAGGGAAGCCACTCCACGGTACTCTTTCTCTTTCTAGAAGATTTGAGCTTCTCACTCGGCACCTTGGAAGTCGTACAAGGAAATGTTTCTCCATAATCATCCACCGAACTCCCGGGTGCTCCAATTTCACTATGAGATGAAAATGGAAGCGTGTGAAGTGGCAAGGATTGCGTTTCATCATGGCTCGGGATGAGTTGGGTATCCACATTCTTACCACTAAACCCGACCTCAACCTCTCCTATGCTCGGGACAAGACCGTCTAGAACCACTTCGTTTTCAACAATATGATGACCGTCTTCTACTTTGCTAGAAGATTTGGTAAAGGGTACGAGGGCAAGCAAATCATTAATATATGTTTCTGGTTTCAGCACGGCGTTGAGAACAGATTCAGAAAATTCCAAGAGCGGTCCTTCCTGTACAAAGCGTTCTGAGGAGTTCAATAATCCTAAGAATTGATCGACACTGAACTTTAAATTCTCAAGCATTACTTGGGATACCAATTTCCTCCAATAATCTGTAACAGAAAACGTCCACTCCTTTTGGCCGTTTTTTCCATTCTTCTCCCCCACTTCATACCAAATTTGCTTTACTGAGACAAAAAGGGGCCACTCTTGCTTGACTTCATCGATTATTTCAAGAAAACCCCAGTTATCTCGAGGCTTCCATTCTTCAGTAAGCTCATCCCAGTCTTGAGTTATCCGCAAGTTGCCAACACGGACCATCATATCATCACCCTGATCAGGAAAGAAAATCTTCCGCTCCTCAGAACCATCTTCGTGGTCAAAAATCACACCTTCCCACCACGCATCCTCAATAAAAGAATCCACACATTGTCCATACCGAAGACTAGATTTTGTGAAACCAATCGAAGGTGGCAAAGGCCTTATCACACCACGACTGTTATTTGGCTCCCGTTGAGCAGATTTGACACCATCAATCAAGGGACTGACACACACAAATTCAATCAAACTAGCAGATTCATCATCACATAGAATGTGATCATATTGCACATGACGAAACGATTTCTCACAGCGAATCACCTCACCAGCATGCCATGAACCCAGGAACCCTTCTTCCAAAGACCTCACCTGCACAAGTTCCATAACATTCAGCAAAAAGCAATATCTTAGATTAAATTCACAAAAAAAAGGAACAATTTTTATGCCACCCATTCAATCAGAGGTATCTATACAAATCATTACATCAAACTATTGCTACAAATAGAAGATTTTGAAGGCATCTGCATTTCTACTTCCTTCACTGAAACACAAATTTACAGTTGCATGAACAGTAAACCACAATCAAGAAAAGAAAATCATGGATTAATTTCCCAACTATGCTTCAATCCATTAAATTCAATGCCCATAATTGAGTGAACATTCACTAAAACCCACATGCAATCACAGAACCACAAAGGCCCCAATTCCCATTTCAGCATTACGCATTCAGACTGAGAATCACAAGAGTGGAGCAATGCAAGGAAAGATTAACCATGAAATAGCAATAGCCCAATAAAAAATTCAATCATTTAATTGAAACCCATTCACCCTTTATTAACAAAATCGCATATGGAAGAATATATGTCATGCGTAAATACACATAAAGATCGTATTTTTTTTTAACCCAGAAAGATAAATGAACTGAAGAATACCTCAACTTTCTCCCCAGAAAGGAGTTTAGGACGAGTCTGATCCCTTTTGCGTTTGCCTCTTCGGTTGCGTTCTTCAAAGTCAGCCGCCATTGGAGAGTCTTCAGGTTTAGGCTTTGCTCTGAAGTTTCAGTTTCCAGTGATAATCATGATATATATTTAGTATTGTACGACTTTCACGGTCCTACATTAAATTGAATTTAGGAATTCTGTTTTTTGTTTTTCAATTTCGATTTATTTTGCTCAAAATAAATTCTTGGATTCCAAGGAAACGCACTCGAAAACACGGCCTTGAACTGTTGGGTCTCTCTTTTAGTCTGTTGCTTTCACTCTCTCTCTATCTCTGTAAAGTGTAATCTGTATCTATATTTTGAAGACACAAAAAGTAAATACTCCTTGGACCATAGTATGGATAATGGACTATGGAAATGATTGCGTGCATGCGAGAGCGAGGAAGATCAATCGTGTGCCCACTTGTCCAAGTGAATAATCAAAAGAGAACAATCGAATGCATATGTGGATTGGAGGGGTGATATCAAAGATAGATTCAGTTGATTTTTTCTTTTGTTAAGCGATCTGCGAATCGAACAACTCATACTTTGATTGTTTGTTTATAAGTCAGGTTGCGAGGAGTTGACTACCCACTCTCCCCTCTTTCTTTGTAATGTTTTATAGGATGATTTTTGTAATGAATGAATGTTCATTGTTTTGCTTTTAAAAAAATGTGAATAGGAGGGACAAGTTACCATCTCTCTCTTTAAGCATTTAGGATGTTAATTTTTATTGAAAAAAAAAAAAAATATATATATATATATATATATATATATATATATATATATATATTGATGGGTGGATCGGAATTATCAAACCTGGTTAGGAACGCAAATGGTAAGAGGATAGAACGTTGTCGTAAGATTGCGGAGACCGTATATTGTATTGTAATAGGTAAGATATTACAACGATTAGTTAGGACAATAGTAATGAAAGTAGTGAACGTGTCTTCATTGGACAAAAGAGGAACCTTTTATACAAGTCACGTACCTCCTAACTGTCCACCTAACTCGGGGAGACGGTTGTCCCCCTGCTTTGACCGTGCCTGGTCCGGAGACCGGGCAACGCGGCTGAGATCGGCCGCTAAGGTCCTCTGTCAATCTCCTACTGAGGCGGCTGTTGAGGTCTCGTGCCGAGGCCACAAGGCCCCACGTCGAGGCGTCGTGCCGAGGTCCTGTGCCGAGGCGGACGGATTAGGCACGTAGCATCGTCCCGGGACCCGTTCTTGTTCCGTGCTCTCAAATCGGTTCGAGTCGACCTATAATATATCCAATATATATATATATATATATATATATATATATATATATATATATATATATATATATAACATTTAAAAAAAAAGTTACAAAAGACAATTGTGTTTAGTAAAAAGTTATGCACCATTTCTTGTGCCAACAAGTTACTTGCATGTTGTCGTTTCCTTTGATAGCATGCAACCTGCTAACACATCTATAATATTCTTGAGTTTGATTTCTTTTTATTATTTGAAGATATTGTAGAGTGATATTATACTCTGCAATATATTTCTCTTTCCATATCATAAATTCTCTCTCTATCTCTTCATCCACATGTAGGCTATATGATATTGTTTCTTGCACCTACCAGTTGCATGCTATGCATGATAGCAGGCATATTGCACACAACTTGCTTTGTTGATACATTAGATTCTTGTACTAAATTTATTGCTGCTTTTTATTTGGAGATGCTGCATGTTGATATGAAACTCTGCACATCTCTCGTTCTATATATATCAACAATTTCCCCTCTCCTTATCCACATGCAAATGGTATGATGTTAATTGTTTCTTGTGACAGCACACATATAGCATGCAACTTAGTTGTTGGCACATTCATGATATTTTTGTGTTAGCTTTGTAACTTTGTTGTTGTTTTTTTTTTTTCTTCTTCTTCTTAAAATGAGGTGTTGTACAGTAGAGTGATTATACTACACAATATCTCGTTTTTTTTTATATATTAGTAAATTTAGTTCTCTCTCAATGTAAGATGTGTGTTGTCATTTCATGTAACTAGTGTCAACGGGTTATGCGATGCGAACATTCATGAGATTATTGTGTTAGCTTTGTTGTTATTGTTGTTTAAAAAAAAAAAAAATTATTAGATCATACTCTCTATCATCTATATTCTCATTTAGGGTCCGTTTGGAAAGTAGGAAAATGACTTCTGAAAAATGTTTTCTGAAAAATGAGTTATTTTCCGGAAAATATTTTCCTTTTCAGTGTTTGATTGCATTCTGGAAAACTGTTTTTGTGTGTTTGGTTCATTTTCTGGAAAATGAGTAGAATTGTATAATTAAACATTTTAATTATTTTATTTAGAATATTACAACATATATAATAATATAATAATAATTTTAAATATAATAAAAAATAACTAATAATATATCAAAAATATTATGGTGGTGGTAGTGGTGTAGTGGTAGTGGTGTTATTTGTTATATAATAATAATAATAATAATAATAATAATAATAATAATAATAATAATAATAATAATAATAATAATAATAATAATAATAATAATAATAACTGGTGGTGATATGACGGTGGTGGTGGTGTGGTGGCGGTGGTGGTGGTGGCGGCGGTGGTTGCGGTGGTATGGTCGTCGTGGTGGCGGCGGTGGTGGTGTGATGGTGGTGGTGGTGTGATGATGGTGGTGTGGTGGTGGTGGTGGTGGTGTGATGATGGTGGTGTGGTGGTGGTGGCGGTGGTTGCGGTGGTATGGTGGTGACGGCGGTGGCGGTGGTGGCGGCGGCGGCGGTTGCGGTGGTATGGTGGTGGTGGCGGCGGCGGTGGTTGCGGTGGTATAGTGGTGGTGGCGGCGGCGGTGGTGGTGTAATGGTGGTAGTGTGGTGGCGGTGGTATGGTGGTGGTGGTGGCGGCGATGATGGTTGCTGTGGTATGGTGGTGGCAGCGATGGTGGTATGATGTTGGTGGTGGTAGTGGTTGTGGTGGTATGGTTTTGGTGGTGGTGGTGGTGGTGTGGTGGCGGTGGTATAGTGGTGGTGGCTGCGGCAGTAGTGGCCGATGGTGATGGTGGTAGTGAGGTGGTGGTGGTATGGTGTTGATGATGTTGGTGGTGGTGTGATGTTGGTTAAAAGTTGGAAAATGACTTCCCCAAAAAGAATGGGAAGTCATTTTCCTCCAAAACAAGCCTATTTTCCAAAGTCAACGGAAAATGATTTCCATTGACTTGATTTTCGAGGCACATCCAAGCAATGGAAACTTGGAAATGATTTCCAGAACTCATTTTCCAAGTTTCCAAACACACCCTTAATTATATATGAAACTTATATACGGGCTCGTTTGGTTCGTGGGAAATATTTGAAAGGAAATGGAATTGAAATTCTATGAAAAAGCAATTACTGAGAAGATGAATTCCATTGTTTGGTTGGTGGAAAAGAAATTACTGGGAATATTGATTCTATTGTTTGGTTGGATTTGTGATTGTAATGAATAATGAGTATAAAGATCTATATGTCCATATAATCCTAGGGTTTGCTATTTATATGTGTGTAATTAAGAAAGAAGCACATACAAGGGTAAAATAGTCTTGCAAGCTTACTTTTTGTTCTCAACCGCCAAGGAAAATAAAATCCTAGATTGCACCTCAGAATTTGTTTTCCTCAAAAGAAATGAAAGCATTTCCCAATGGAAAATAAATTTCATGAACCAAACATTAGAAAACAAGCTTTTCTTCAATTTTTAGAAAAACATTTTACTTGAAAAATCTTTTCCATCCAACCAAACACCCCCGTTATAGGGTTGGATGAAAGAGCTTGTTGTACACTTATGGTATGTTTGGAACATGTGGAATGCTCGATATGAGAAGATTTGGAACCATTGTGTCATCCCATCATCAGCACTGGACGATTGTTAATGAAACTCTTGGAGGGAGGTTAACACAGATGGGAGACGGATCGTTTGGGAGAGTGGAGCCATGACCAAAAGTTGGCAAAACCCCTAATATGATGGATGAAGTTGAACTTAACGTGGACGCTGCTATCAATTATGGCCACAAAAGAACGGGTGTTGGATGCATTATAAGGAACTAAAATGGTGTTTTTGTTGCTACAAAAGAATCGCCTTAGCAAGGAGTCTAGTATCCCAAATTAAAGATCATAGGTCGAAGCAATGAGGGTTTAGGAAGCCATCAAATGGGCAAAGAGCTTAGGGAATGAACAAAATCCAAGTTGAAATGGATGCATTACACGTATGACAGAGCCTTCAACAACAGAGGCACAATTTCAAGTTTGATCTCATAATTATATTAAGGAATTAGCTAGACATTTTTTTATATTAGCTTTTTATTTATAAAACGTTAAGCGAATGAGATAGCTCACTTGCATGCAAAGGAAGCCTTATTCAAGACAGATCATATTGTTTGATTTTCTGTGCCTATTTTTCTTTATGGTGTATTAAGCTCTTTTTGAATTAATGAAGTATGTTATTTCAAAAAATTATATACACATAGGGTTAGAAATTATTCATAATATTTAAATTAAACTTTTTTTTTTTTGAAAATAAAGAAGCTAATTCATTAATCATAGGCTTAAACGTTTACAATAAAGATCGATGGAATGGTCAAACATTCCTTACAGTTAAACATAGAAACAACTTCCTTAGCAATGTTATAGAAAACTTGATTCGTAGACTGTTTCACAAATTTGAAGCTGAATTCTTCGGAGGAACTTAAAGCTTCTTTAATGATTTGGTCAAGCGTGCCCAAGACCGACACTAGTTGAATAGTCTTGCACACCACCTGAGTATCTATTTCCATTATTCTATCTATTGATCTCCATCGGACTGAACTGCATATTATAGTTGAGAGGAGTCTCTTTTTCATTGTCATGCTTGTCACACAGGATGAGATTCACATACGCCATGACCAGTTTTATCGTTTCACGCTTTATGAAAAAGAACTCGCCAAGTAAACGAGAGGAAGAAACTCGTCAAAACAACGAGAGAAAAAACTCAAAAACTGCAAACAAAATTAAACCAGTAAAGGCAGTAAAACAAATCAAAGGGAAACAACAATGCAAAATAAGGGAGTAACGACCGGTAGCGGTTGAGATGGAAGAGAAAACGATGAAGGCGAGCGTTGTCTGCGGTGGAGATGGCAGTAGGGCAAGACGGTTGGACGCCGCTTCCGATCCGCTTGCTTCACGGAGGCGATGGCCGTGTAAATACCAGAAACGAGAGAGAATTAGGGTTTAGTGGTTTAAGGAGTAATATAAAAAAAAAAAAATTAGAATCACAACTTATTAGAAAAGAATTGACATACATTTAAATTAAGGGGGTGTATTCAATCCTGACTTTCATAGAGTTTTAAAGACTTTTATGAACTTTAAAAGTTTGGGGGTAGTCAATTCAAACTTTTAGAGAGTCTTTAAAAGTCAGGCGATATTCAAAATCAAGATTTTTAAAGAGTCTTTAAAAGTCGTGTGGTATTCGATTAAGACTTTTAGAGAGTCTTTAAAAGTCACGTGGTATTCAAAAAGTCATGAACTTTTGTAAACTTTTTAATTTTAAGACTTTTGTAAACTTTTTCTTCTCAAATATAAATAATTGAAATCCAACCATCAACCCCCAGATTTCAAAATTTTCTTTCTAACAACTTCGAATGTTTTCTCTCTCTATTTAAATTCTATTTTTTCTCTCAATTTAAACTTTATAAACCCATTTAAATTTAATAAAATTATTTTTTTCTTCATATCCTATATTTTCCTCATAATTAAACTCTACCAATTTTTTTCTCTCTCCTAAACTTTACAATCTTCCCTTAAAAATTCGAAATAATATTATTTTTACTTCATTATTGCTTGTTTATATTGATTTTTATTTTTTCTATGAATTTTTTATCCATAATTTTCTCTAATTCTCCCTAAATACATGAACAAAGTAAATTTTTCATCATAAAATTTTAGTATATGTTTCATAATATTCATATAAATACTTATATATTTTGATTTTTATTCTTTTTATGTTTATTATATTCGTAATATATATTTTTCCTTTTTTTTTAACAACAAGTTACTACGAATAGCGAACTACGGTTCACAACAACAATTTGGGGTTGCAAACAGTAACACCTTGTTGTTGTTCGCAGTCTCAAATTGCTATTGAAAATAATAGTTCTTTGTGTGTGTGTGTATGTATGTATGTATGTATGTATGTATGTATGTATGTATATATATATATATATATATATATATATATATATATATATATATATATATATATATATATATATTATAAATATTAGATTTTATTTTATTTTATGCAACTTGTAATTATATTTTTAAATATTTTATTTGATCAATTCTTTTATTATAAATTTTATTATTCAATATTGTTATGAATTCTAATGAAATATTTTTTTTATGTTTATTAATAATATATATAAGTAATAGAATATAAGTCTCAACATACTATGGATAAAAATAATAATGTTGAGAATGTTGATGTGGGTGAAGAACGACATAATAAGAAAATTTTATGATATATTATAAATATTTTGTAAGAAAATTATAAATGATAAGAATCAAAATCATTAAAAGTTTGTAAGGATGTATTCAATTTATAATTTCAATGACTTTTGTAGATTTTTTAAAATAAAAAGTTGATAAAAGTCTATGAATGTTTTTTATATAGACTTTTATAAAGTCTTATAAAATTTTAAAAAGTTTTGAACGACTCTATGAAAGTCAATCAAAGTTTATTAAAATCTATCATTTTAAAAGTCTTTAAAACTTTACAAAAGTCATGATTGAATACACCCCCTTAAGACTTAAAATGTAAACTAAATTTTAGATTTTTGGTTAACTCGATAGGTTATTGGTTTGAATATTTTTTATTGTTTTGTATTCGGATAACCAATGTGATTCATCTTATACAACAAGCTTCTTGTACTTGATTATCCTTTCAGGTGATATTCATCCTATTTTAATGACGAACCATATTAGTATGACTTAGAGTTGGTAGCCAACGCAAGTGTGCAGAATATTTTAACCAGGAAATCAGATCACTCAGCTCTTTTCCTTGGGATTCTCAATCTTCGGGAAAGGAGGGGTGGCCTGAGAAGAGGGTTTAGATTTGAGATGGCGTGGCTACATAATGAAGGATGTCGAGCGGTGGTGGAAAAATCATGGAGTGAAGGGAGAAGTAGGGGATTGCAGGAGTGTGTCACATTATGTGGTGACTGATTAACACGCTGGGGTGGAGACCGATTCCACAAATTTGGTGAAAAAATATTGTGCTTGCGGAAAGAACAGTTGCGCCTAAGAGGATGTACGGATCCAGTGTCTCTAGCTGAGTTTCAGAGATTGGAAGAATGCTTGACACGTGTTGAATTGCAGGAGGATACTTATTGGAGGCAGAGGGCCAAACAGCATTGGCTCAAGGATGCGGATGCAAACACCAGATTTTACCACAGGTATGCTTCTCATCGTAAGAAAAAGAATGTTATTACTAGAATTATGAATGATAATGGGGATTGGATTGAGGGGGATGCCATGAGAAATATTATCTTGGATTATTATCGTGGTATTTTTCACTCAAGTTCACCTACAGTTGATAATGCTTTCTTTGAGGGTATACAACCACGAGTAACGGCTATACAGAATGAGGGGCTATTGCGCCCTTTTGAAGAGAGTGAGGTAAAATCTGCATTGTTTTCAATGTATCCCGATAAAGCACCAGGCCCAGATGGGATGAATCCTGGATTCTATCAGCACTTCTAGGATGTGGTGGGGACTGATGTTTCTTCATATATTGTGAATTGCCTGAATGCTGGCTCGTTACCTGGTAAACTGAATGAAACAAATATTATTTTGATCCCGAAAAAGAAAACCCCGGAGATGGTTTCTGACTATAGGCCAATTGCTTTGAGTAATGTCATTTATAGGGTAATGGCCAAAGTTATTACTGCCAGAATGAAGCCACTAATGGAGAATATTATATCTGAGTCTCAAAGTGCGTTTATCTCTGAGAGACTAATTACAGATAACATATTGATAGCCGCGGAAGTTGGGCATTATTTAAACAGGAAGCAATGTGGACTAACAGGTTGGGGGGCTCTAAAGCTGGATATGGCAAAGGCCTATGACCGTATGGAATGGTTTTTTTTGCAAAATATGTTAATGGCGTTGGGTTTTGATGAAAAATGGGTGAAATTATTGATGATGTGTGTGACCACTGTGTCTTATAGTGTACTGGTTAATGGTTCACGGAGTGAGCAAATAATTCCGACTCGTGGTTTACGACAAGGTGATCCCCTATCGCCTTATTTGTTTATTATTTGTGCTGAAAGGCTTTCATTATTATTACAACAGGCACAGGCGAAGGGAGAAATACATGGATGTAGAGTTGCTAGAGGGGCACCTTCTATTACCCACCTATTTTTTGCTGATGATAGCTTGCTTTTTTTTCAAAGCAAATGCCCAAGAAGCAGGTGTCATTAAATGTTGTTTGGAAAAATATGAGGAAATGTCTGGCCAAGCTGTCAACTATCACAAATCGAATATTTGTTATAGTAAAAATACCAGAGATGAAACACGGGAAGAGGTTGCCAATATATTGGGTGTGGTGCAGGCTCAGAATTTTGGAAAGTACTTAGGGCTTCCATCATTTGTGGGCAGGAATAGAAGGGCAGCTTTTTCTTATATTGAAGATAAGATAAGACAAAGGATTAGCTCATGGAATAAAAAACTCTTGTCACAGGCAGGGAAAGAGGTTTTATTGAAAAGTGTGGCTCAATCTATGCCTACCTTCTCAATGAGTGTCTTTTTACTACCTGCCCCTCTATGCACTGCCATTGAGCGAACCATGAATCGATATTGGTGGAGGTCAAAGAATGATCAAGGTATTCATTGGAAAGCATGGGATAAGCTATGTATCCCAAAGAAGTATGGAGGATTGGGGTTTAAGGAGTTGCGAGCGTTTAACCTTGCTATGCTAGGAAAGCAAGGGTGGCGGTTCCTCACACAGCCACAGTCATTGGTTTCAAGAGTTTATAAAGCCAGGTATTATCCCACTAACTCTTTCTATGATGCATGCTTGGGAAATAACCCGAGTTTTTGTTGGAGAAGTATTTTGGCAGCACAGAAGTTGATTTGTGGGGGAGTTAGGAGAAGAATTGGGAATGGCCAGTCAACATTGATATGGGATCACCCTTGGTTGCATGATGAAAGTCGGCCGAAAATATTAACAGAAAAACCACCCCAGTTGGCACAGGCAAAAGTAGTGGGTCTGATGGATCAACAGACGGGAACCTGGGATAAAGATATTCTAACAGATATTTTCATACCTGAGGATGTCGAGCGAATTTTGAAAATACCCGTGGCACCAGATTATGAGGATTTGTGGTATTGGTATGGGGACCCAAAAGGTGAATACTCTGTTAAAAGTGGGTATAGAACAGAAGTTGGAGAATATACCCCACCAGTGGGGACATTTAATAAATGGCATAAATTGTGGAAGCTTAAAATCCCCCCAAGTGAAAAACATTTTTATGGAGAGCTCTGAATGATATTTTGCCCACTACAATGAACCTACTTATAAAGAGGGTGGATATTGATCCAACATGTGCTATGTGTGGAATTGGACATGAAGATGTTGTGCATTCTTTGATTACGTGTGACTATACGGCAGACATTTGGACACAATCCCACCTTCCAATCCCTAATAATGTTACAAATATTTTTAGAGATTGGTTTAATGATTTGATGAATGTTTTAGATGATGATGGAATTATTTATGCAGTGGCAATTCTCTATTATACTTGGCGCACAAGGAATGGAGCTGTATGGGATGCGTACTTACCCAGACCTCGGAAAGTGATTGTAATGGCATCAACAGCTCTGAGTGCATGGAAATCAGTTCATCATCGAAGTCGAAATCAGCAGTCCAATGCTACGGTTTCGGACCGCCATGTAGCAGTGACCGAAGACGCTATAGCAGCTGTGTCCATGCCGATAAATGGGACTGCCATGCCGAACACGGAACTGCACCACCCACAGCAGTCCACGCCAAGCAGCTCACACCATGTTACTCAGAACATGAGGGATCAATGTTACTTCGATGCGGCATACGACCCACGGACAAACAAAGCAGGAGTGGGGGCTATTATCTTAAGTGGACAAGGGGGTTATATTTCGGCTATGACTACTCCAATGATAGATTGTTTTTCACCCCTAATGGCAGAAGCTTTCGCATGCAAGGAAGTTTTGTCGTGGTTGAGAAACCGCGAAATAAAGTCTATCGACCTCTACACGGATTGTTTGGTGCTTCAACAATATCTGTCATCTATGACACACTCGTCACGGACCTACTTGGGTTATGCCATTGATAGTTGCAGGACTAATATATTGATTTTTGATTATTGTTTTCTTCATTATATTCCTAGATTAGAGAATTATTTAGCTCATACTTTAGCATCTACTGCTTTTACTCATTCGACTTTTATGTACTGGGACTCAGATCCACCAGTTTCTATTTCTGCATACTTTGAATAAAATGCTGTACAGGCTCCTTTCAAAAAAAATATTAGTATGACTTAATTTGTGTTTTCATCGGACGATATATAAATAAAGAAAAATGTTAAATATCATTAATCTACTCAGTCGAAGAATGGAAATAATCATTTTCCAACCAATAATTATAACTGTATATTTAAAAATTTAGTTACGATCGAACACTGCCCTTGATTCACAATTCCAATCGTGTCTCCCTATAAAATTATTAGAAAAATTATAGGTGTCATATATCTGTCAATCTATATCATATAATACTTGTGAATCCATTTGAAAGGACTCACTTGAGGTTGGCAAAATTCGTCATTTTTCACCAAAATGATCAACACTACTATTGACTCACTTGCTTCAATTAATCACCCTAAAATTCAGTTCCGATGTAAAAGTTTGAATTCCATCAGGGCGTCTGGTTGGAAAGAGGGAAAGAAATTGTAATTCCGTGAGAAAAGAATAAAGTGAAAATTTAAATTATATCGTTTGGTTGGAATGAATAGAATGATTGAAATTGAAAGGCAAGAAGTGAATAAAGACTAAAATATCATTGTATAATAATAATATAATAATTATAAAAATGATAAAATGGTAATTTATCATGAAATGAATTGCAATTCTTAGAGTTTCCCTTATAAATTACAATTCCATGATTGGATAGAATTGCAATTCTCTTCAACTAAACTATAAAATTACAAATTTATAAAAAAAAATTGATAGGAATGGAATTACAATTCGGTCTTACCAAATACTCCATTTGGTGAAAATTATTCCCGTGGTGAAAAAGTCTAAAGCCAAGCATGACATACCAAACCCCTATAATGGGCATTATTTGTACGTATGATATTATTTCTTTCTTTCTTTTTTAAGGAAGTTACAATGACTGTAGATCCTAGAACACTCTTGACCGCTCAAATTATTGGAAAACAAAATCATGAAGGTTTGCACAAGATAGCTAAAGGCTTCCAGAAAAAGAGTTAGCAAAAACTCAGGATTCAGGAATATCCGAATATGAGTTTTGGACCCACCGACACCGACATCTAAGGTTCTTGTATAATCCTGTCTTTCACCTGTTAGCCGCCATCTACTGATCTATTCATCCACCCATATTTCTCCTTCTTCTCAACCCTCTGAAGAATCTTGATAGAATTACATACTGACAAAGAAAAAGATCGTAATTTTCGTTTTTATACCACCATGCCTTGGTTTAGAAATCTAATCCAGCTCACCACCGCCACTACCCGCAAACAATCATCGTTCAAGGCGGCGTTCCCGGCGGCTGCGCCGCCGTCACTAACCCAGTGTCTGTTGTTTAGTACGGAAGCAAAGAGTGGCGGCGGCGGGACGAGGTATGCGGGGTTGGGGCCCACGAAGGCGGATGAGAAGCCCCGAGTGGTGGTGCTGGGGACGGGGTGGGCGGGGTGCAGGCTGATGAAGGGGATCGACACCAATATATACGATGTTGTTTGTGTGTCGCCGAGGAACCACATGGTGTTCACACCTCTGCTGGCCTCCACTTGCGTCGGCACTCTGGAGTTCCGATCTGTTGCTGAGCCTGTCGGCCGGATCCAACCCGCAATTTCCCGGGAACCCAATTCTTATTTCTTTCTTGCTACTTGTTCTGGAATTGATTTCAACAACCATACAGTATGCCCATTATCTTGCTCATTTTCTTTTCCTTGGATTACAATGAAACTCGCACTCACTATTCGAGGGTGCATGGCCGAATTTTGGGCTGTGCAAGCTAGGCTGCAGCAGAGGACCCCAAATTTTAGCGGCTCAATATTTAATTTTTATTTAGCTAGTTTAGAAATAAAAATTAAAAGTTTTCAATTAAACTTAAAAGGCTCTATGAAAAAATGGTAGGAATGTGTGTTTATTGTATTTCAACTTGGAGGTTAGAGGTTCTGTGTGACCTCATCCTCATTTATTTACTTAGAACAAGGCCACAAAAATCTAAAAACTGGCTGTGCGAGCGCGTGTAATGTTAAATTTCACTATATGTTTTACTTTGGGGTTACCAAGTCAAGTGTGTGCACCTGGTAAAACCTGTCTTGTAACCCTAGCTAGCAAATGATGGGTTCAAACCAAGCCTTGGAAACTTGAGGTTACCAAGCCAACATTGTGGCCAATTTGGTTGGGGTTGCCCCATCTGACTTATTTTCTCACCTTAATGTGCAATGAAGTTTCCATTTTTCTCACCTTAATGCCACAATTTGCCAGCATTTTAGTCTGATGATGAAATTATACTTTGTACTATATTGTTAATGTAGTAGCAGAAACATACACCATATTAATGTTAATAATTCAGTTGAATGTTTCTTGTATACTCTTTCCTTATTACTATGTGAGTATGTGACTAAATATTTGATGCCTTAAGCTCAATGTATAGTTTTCAGTTAAAAGGAGTGGAATTTACTTTTTAGTTCAAATGCTATAAAGTTGATGTTAGATTTCTGGTGGGATCCTGTTTTCTCAGCAGCTAAAGTAAACCATTTTTTTAATTTTTTTTTTTGTTTGTAGATAAAGTGCCAAACAGCGACAGATGGAGTTGAAACTCCTGAGCCATGGGACTTCAGTATCTCGTATGACAAGTTGGTAGTTGCCGCGGGAGCAAAAGCCTTAACCTTTGGAATTAAGGGAGTGATGGAACATGCTATCTTTCTTCGGGAAGTTTACCATGCTCAAGAAATAAGGAGAAAACTCCTCCTAAACCTGATGCTGTCTGATGTGCCCGGTATGATTGCCATATCTTAAGTTTTTGGGGGCTTTAAGTGATAATATTGACTGTTGGACTCGTTCCTGACTTGGTTATGGAATGAGGCAGGAATTAGCGATGAAGAAAAGCGCAGACTCCTGCACTGTGTTGTCGTTGGAGGTGGCCCCACGGGAGTTGAGTTCAGCGGGGAACTTAGCGACTTCATCAAGAGGGATGTTCATCAAAGATATGCTCATGTAAAAGATTATATTCATGTCACACTAATTGAGGTAAACCGTTCTAATTCCTTATACAATTGTACTTGTCTTTAAGGAAAAAAAAAAATGAATCTTTTGGAACAGATGTGATTTTGCACATGTGGTGGCATTCTTATTTGCTTCTCGGTATGAAGTTTAAGTGTACTTATGTTACCTTTAATTTGAAATTGGATGGGGATGTCTTGGTAAATTGTAAATGACGATTATTCCTTTACAGGCTAAAGAGATTTTGTCTTCCTTTGATGATCGTCTTCGTATATATGCAACCAAACAATTGACCAAGGTGAGATTGACTGATTGCAAATAGTTATTGCGATGCTGCTAAGTATATTAGCTGAACAATTATCTCCGGCTACTATATACGGAGCATCATCCTTTTTCTTTACTACTTCACATATAGAACACAAATAGTCTGTTACGAGATGAAAGTTTTTACCAAAGTTTTGAGTAATTTGCCACGCCCTTTATGTCCCTTTAGCTGCCCTATGGCAGGAAAATTCCTTCTTGAACTACGTTATTATTTGGCATTTATTTCATGTAAAAGTGCACTACATAATATTTATGCTCATCTGTGGAGCGTTAATCCCTTTATTGCAAATCTATCAATTTCCAGTCAGGAGTTCGTCTGGTACGTGGGGTTGTACAAGATGTGCAACCAAAGAAGATAATTCTTAATGATGGCACGGAGGTCCCATATGGCTTGTTAGTGTGGTCTACTGGGGTTGGACCGTCTTCGTTTGTGGAATCTCTGGATATTCCAAAATCTCATGGAAGGCAAGCTTTAGATTACTGCAAAACGTTGTTGATTTGCATTTACTTTATGGAAGGGTTTTGACTCTGGTGAACGGATTTACAGGATTGGAGTTGATGAATGGCTACGTGTCCCTAGCGTGCAGGATGTATTTGCAATCGGGGACTGTTGTGGCTTCCTCGAAAGTACAGGCAAGCCCGTACTTCCAGCCTTGGCTCAGGTGAAATTTTATGTGAAATTATTTATCCCCGAGATCCATGAGTGACCTTTCAAGCTACTTCCTATGCATCACCGAGTGTGGGATTCTGGTGAATTGGTGTTTACAATGAAACTTCTACATGAATGCATTGTGTTTATAAATCTTGTCCTACTTCTACTTCGTTCAGGCAAATGGTATGATGCTTTTTAGAGTGACTTGAACTGTTGTGTATGTTTCTTATGTACGGAACGGAGCGGAGTGGAGTGGGCCCCACACCCCCGCGGTACAATACAGGGGTATTTTAGTACATGTACATGTTTAGAGATACCTATAAATTATGTTAATAAAAGAACAGCTTCATTCCTGTGGATGTAGGCACTTTGCTGAACCACGTAAATCTTGTCTTATTTACTTTCTGTCACTCAACATGAACATTGTTGGACAACGTGAACTTGTTCTTTTAACGTACTTGCGTGTTGAATGCTCTATTAGGTTGCAGAACGTCAAGGAAAGTATCTGGCAACGCTAGTGAACCAAATTGGCAAAGCTGGCGGGGGGAAAGCAAATGCTGCCAAGGATTTGGACCTCGGGGATCAATTCGTTTATAGGCATTTGGGCAGCATGGCAACCATAGGCCGGTATAAGGCGCTTGTTGACCTTAGGCAGAGCAAGGTTAACTAACCTCTACGATACATATACTCTTTCTTCTCTCTTTATCTGGTGGGTTATGCTTATACTTATACTGCACTCCGTGCAGGAGGCGAAAGGCGTATCGATGGCAGGATTCACAAGCTGGTTTATTTGGCGCTCGGCTTACCTGACTCGTGTGGTCAGCTGGAGAAACAGATTCTACGTCGCTATCAACTGGTTGACGACTTTGGTGTTTGGTCGTGATATCAGTCGGATATAAGAAACGAACGACCAAAAGGCGCCCTCGGTTCATGCCTGCAGAAACGCACCGCGATTTGCTGCTGCTCGAGCTCAGTTCTGGTAAAATCCTTCTTCTTGTTGCAGGAAATCTTTTTACAAGTTCATGTTTTCCTCCATCCTCTTCATCATCACACCGTTGCAATGAATCATTACTGCAGATGAAAAGAATAACTTCTTGCAATTCAGAGTTCTTTGTTTCTTACTTTTCTTGCCTTCTTTTTCATCTGTAAATCTTTGCCAAACAGAATTATTTTACTTGTATAATTTGTGTTGATCCTGCATCCCCCCTCCCCTCTTTTTTACTTGGAAGTGGATAGATTTCCTTATTAACTTTCTTAGTTAGAATCAATTAACTATGAATAACTTAAATTGATTTACAATATTATAATTTGTACTAATTTTTTTATTTTTTATTTTGTGATCCTTTATTACTCGTAACGCACAATTTTTTGATACAATAATCATACTCTACTTATTTGATTTCCCTTTCGAGTTTCGAGGCTCCTTGGCCGGCTTTTGATGGCTGGGAAAGATTAATTAAAGTGCAAAAGGATAATACAAAGGAATGGTCTACAAACAGCAGTCAGCAGCCATGGACCGAGTCAACTCCAACAATAATGCATATGGAGGACATAGTAATAATAATAATAATAATAATAATAATAATAATAATAATACATTATTCTGTTTTGTGTTTTTCAGTTTCCATTTAATTTGCTCAAAATAAATTCTTGGATTCTAAGGAAACGCACTCGAAAACACGGCCTTGAACTATTGGGGTCTCTCTTTTTTTTTTTTTTTTTTTTTTTTATGAAGGGGAAACCCAAGGAATACAGCACAATATGGGGTGTGTTTTACATAAATCTCCAAAAGGAAAATCTAGCTATATCATCTTCTAGACTACCCAATATAACATCTGGTGGTGAATTCAGTATATGCACGCCAGGAGAGAAATTTCTGGAGTAAAACGTGAGGCGATCTGCGACTACGTTCTGCTCTGTTATTACTGGAGTGATTTGCCATTTTTCGGGGCATCAGAGTTTTTTTTTTGCAAGCTTCGAGGACGTTGTGAGCTGGGATGCGAGGTAGGCTGCGTCCTTTCATGTAGTCGATGGTTGTAGCAGAGTCGCTCTCTATGATCAAGTTGCTATAGTTCTTGGCGACCGCTAGTTGGATTCCTTTTAATATGGCCCATGTTTCGGCTTCAAGAGGTGTGCAATTACCTATGTTGTAAGTGAAGCCTTGACACTACCTGCCCGTGCTGTCCCTTATTACACCGCCGCAACTGCCCTTGTTTGTGTTGCCTTGGATCGAGCCATCCACGTTTAGCTTGTAGAAGTTATCCTGCGGTTTTTCCCAGCACATTTGTTTCCAGGAAGCTGCAGCTTGTGGTTTTAGTTTCCCTGAGAACCTGGTAAATGCTTTATCGAACTCCATAGCTTGAGCTTTAATCCATTGAATCTTGAAACTATGAGTCTGGACTGAATTGTTGAACACTGCTTCGTTTCGCCATTTCCAGATCCACCATAATGTTGTGGCGAATAGCGAGCTGGAGCTGAAGAGACCTTTTGCATTACCTTTTCCGGCTATGCCTATTTCTAGCCAGTTTGAGAAGGGAAGTCTCCTCATCTTATCGAAAGAGTTTGGGAAGATTGCTTTCCAAATGATTTTTGCTAACGGGCAGGAGCGAAGGACATGGTCCTCATCCTCGACTGAATCTCTGCAATTCCAGCATTTGTTGCACTCGGTGAGTCCTCTTCTTTCCCTTAAGCTATTGGTCATGATTCTTCCGTGGGTAGCAAGCCATATGAAGGAACGGATTCGGTTGGGGACTTTTAACTTCCATATGCTGTTCCACTTTGATGCTTCAGGTGGACCTTCAAATGCGCTTGGTTCACTGTTTGCTATGTCGTATGCCGAGGATACGGAGAAAAGCCCGGATGCTTCTCTGGACCAAGCTATGGTGTCCTTTGCTTCTGGATCGTCAACAATTATGAAGGACGCTAGTCTGTTTGTCAGATCATCGGGTAGGAGGTGGTTCAGATTGTCCCACGACCAACCAATGTTCGTCTTCCAATAACTCGCCACTGTTCTGCTTAGTTCTATTTCCGGAATGTTTTCTGTGGCTGCTTCCATCAGTGGTTCGTTGCTTATCCATTTTTCTTGCCAGAATAGTGTATCCATACCATTTCTCACGTGTTTCCTTATGCCTTTTTGTAAGATTGGTATGGCTTTAATAATTCCTCTCCAAGCGTTGGAACTGCTGGTTTTGGTACGCCAAGTGGAACAATCAGATGTCAGGATTGGATATTTGGCCTTGAAGATTTGGATCCAAAGCTCGTCGTCTTCCTGTAGAATTTTCCAGCCTAGCTTTGCTAGGAATGACAAGTTCATTGGTTCCAATTTGCGAATCCTAGTCCTCCGGAGGCTTTATTTTTTGTGACAGTGTCCCAATTGACTAGATGACATCTTCTTTCTCCTTCTTTGCTTCCCCAGAGGAAGCTTCTAATTAGTTTTTTCTGTTGTTGATAAGGCCGATTGGGGGGAGTGTGGACTGCATAGTGTAGAAAGGAATGGATGAAAGCACCGATTGTGCAAGGATTTGTCTGCCTGCGAAGGATAGCGTTTTTGCCTTCCATCCAGCAAGCCTTGACTCCATTTTCTCGAACAAACTTACGAACGTTTCGCTTTTGATCCTTCCGTGTAGGGATGGGAGGCCAAGGTACTTGCCGAGATCGGTCACCTTGGGTACGTTCACTGCTTGGGTGATTGCGTGCTGAACTTATGGAGTTGTATTGTTTGAGAAGAAGACACTAGATTTCTGGAGATTCATCCTCTGTCCAGACATCGCACAGAACCTCTCCAAGCAGCTTCTGATCACTAATGCTTGTTCCAGCGAAGCTTCTCCAAACAAGACCAAGTCATCTGCAAAAAAGAGGTCAGAAATTAGAGGAGCGTTTCTTACAACTTTGATACCTTTCCATTTACCCGTTCTGGCTGACTCCTTGATGATATGGCTTAGTCTTTCCATGCATAGGACGAATAGAACAGAGGATAATGGGTCCCCTTGTCTGACCCCTTTTCCGGGCTTAAACCATTCCGATTGCTGGTTGTTCCATAGTATCGACAACCTTGAAGTTGAAATGCATTCCCAGATGATCCTTCTCCAAGTATGATTGAATCCAATTTCCTTGAGAGTGTTTGCTATAAACTCCCAAGAGAGTCTATCGTAGGCCTTTTCGAGATCGATTTTCATAATAAACCAGCCTATCTTCCCTTTCTTGATCCTCATTGAATGCAGGATTTCCTGGTATGCGAGAATGTTTCCTGTTATAGACCTTCCAGATATGAAGCTTGATTGGTGTTGTCCGACCAATTGAGGTAAGATGTTCCGGAGTCTAGCTACAAGGCATTTGGTGATCAGCTTGTAGTGTACGTTACATAGGCCAATGGGCCTAAATTGTTTTATGCTTTCCGGGTTTGGTGTTTTCGGAATTAGGGAGATAAGTGCGTCGTTGGTCCCTGCTGGTAGTATGCCATTGTCCAGATTAAACCGCACAACCGCACCTGGGCACTCTAACCGCACCAGAACCTATATATATATATATATATATATATATATATATATATATATATATATATATATATATATATATATATATATATATATATATATATATATATATATAAGGGTTCAGGTGCGGGTAGTATAGCTTCCTGTGAGGTTGGATGTGCAGTTAGATCTGAGCCGTTGATCAAATCTAGATCAACGGCTCAAATCAATGAAGATTTTAATTAAAAAAAAAATGCTTGTCTGGAAGTAAGAAGCATAAGCTAAAAATAGCGCACCTTAAGTGATAGAAACACGCACTTTAAGCTTAGATCTTAAGCACAAACTCACGCACATTAAGCACAACCTCACGCACATTAAGTACAAAACGCACGCACTTTAACTATTAACTCACAGACCTTAAGTTTCAACAACTACTGACATTAAGCACAAACTTACGCATATTAAGTACAAAACTCACGCACACTAAACACAACCTCACGCACATTAAGCACAAAACTCACGCACTTTAAGTATTAACTCACAGACCTTAAGTTACAACAACTACTGACATTAATCACTAACCTCACACACATTAAGCACAAACCTTACCCACATTAAGCACAAACTCCACTTACATTAAGAACAAATCTCACACATCTTAAGCATAAAAGCCCACGCTTTAAGTTTTAACAACTACTCACATTAAGCTCAACTCCACACACATTAAGCACAAAACTCACGCACCTTACCTTCTCCTATTAAAAAAAAAAGTCAAAATGCCAAACATGGCATACTAAACCCCTATAATAGGGGAGTGCATCTGACGGTTCGGATCGGATTTGATAGACGGAGGGCGTATTAACCGTTCAGATATCGCATGTTATTTTTTGTACCCAATATTTTTTTTAAATGTAAGTTAACCATTCGGTTTTATGATGTTTCGGTTCGGATCGGATATCTGAATCGAGTTCGGTTATTATTAACTTAAAAAAGAAATAATAAATTTAAACAAAAGCCTTGAAAATTGAAAAAATATATCATATTTTGTTTCCATATTTCCAGAATTCCAGATTTCCAGTAAAGTCTACACTCCCATGCGTGCTAAATTGCATATTAGCAAATAGCAACTTACTAAATAAAATATTGAGTTAATTACCGAATAGTCCATTAACTATAGTAAAATTATCAATTTGATCACCGATTATTTTTTTGATTAATTAAATCCCTCAACTTTAAAAATCTTAACCAATTTGATCCTTTGTTTGTTTTGCCGTTAGACATCCGTTAATTCGGGACTAAATTGGTAATTTCACTATAGTCAAGGGACCATTTTGGTAAACAACTTTTCGGAGGATATGGTGCATGTGATAATCGAAATGGTTCCTTGACTATGCAAAATTACTAATTTAGTCCCGAGTTAACGGATTTCTAACGACAAAACAAACAAAGGACCAAATTGGTTACAGTTTTTAAAGTTGAGAGATTTAGTTGGTAAAAAAAAAAGTCAATGATCAAATTGATAATTTCGCTATAGTCAATGGATCATTTTGATAATAAGGGTCAAATAAGTCACTGAACTGCACACAAAAATGCAATTAGGCCACCAAACCTAAAAAATCTACAATTGGGTCCTTAAACTAACCAATTTCATTCAATTTGTCCATTTTTCTAAGTTTATCAAGTTGCTAACAGGTTACCCTCCACCTAAGATGTATGTGTGACATTTTTTTTAAAAAATAATTTATTTTTAAATTAGCTTTTTTAATATTTAATAAATAAAAACTAAAATAATTTTTTTTAAAAATAAAATAATGTGTTAAGTCTTAACACATTATTTTATTTTCAAAAAAAAATTATTTTAGTTTCTATTTATTAAACATTAAAAAAATTAATTTAAAAATAAATTATTTTAATTTTTATTTATTAAATATTTTAAAAAATTAATTTAAAAATATTTTAAAAAAAGTCACATATATCTTATGTGGATGGTAACCTGTTAGCAATTTGAGAAACTTAAAAAATGAACAAATTGAATAAAATTGGTTAGTTTAAGGATCTAATTGTAGGTTTTTTAAGTTCAATGACCTAATTACATTTTCATGTGCAGTTGGTCTATTTGACCCTTATTCCAAAAACAAACTCATGAAGGTTTGCACAGGATAGCCAAAGACTTCCAGAAAAAGAGGTAGCAGAAACTCATGATTCAGGAATATGAGTTTTGGATTCACTGACACCGACATCTAAGTTTCTTGTAATCCTGTCTTTCACATGTTTGCCGCCATCTACTGATCTGTTGATCCACACCCGCCACCCATTCCTCAGTCAAACCCCCGCACATATTTCTCCTTCATCCATCTTTCATGCCAATTGCTTCTTAAACCTCTGAACAATCATGATACAATTACATACTGACAAAGAAAAGATCGTAATTTTCGTTTTTATACCACCATGCCTTGGTTTAGAAATTTAATCCAGCTCACCACCGCCACTACCCGCAAACAATCGCCGTTCAAGGCGGCTGCGCCGCCGCCGTCACTAACCCAGTGTCTGTTGTTTGGTACGGAAGCACAGAGTGGCGGCGGCGGGAAGAGGTATGCGGGGTTGGGGCCCACGAAGGCGGATGAGAAGCCCCGAGTGGTGGTGCTGGGGACGGGGTGGGCGGGGTGCAGGCTGATGAAGGGGATCGACACCAATATATACGATGTTGTTTGTGTGTCGCCGAGGAACCACATGGTGTTCACACCTCTGCTGGCCTCCACTTGCGTCGGCACTCTGGAGTTCCGATCGGTGGCTGAGCCTGTCGGCCGGATCCAACCCGCCATTTCCCGGGAACCCAATTCTTATTTCTTTCTTGCTAATTGTTCTGGAATTGATTTCAACAACCATACAGTATGCCCATTATCTTGCTCATTTTCTTTTTGTTGGATTACAATGAAACTTGCACTCACTATTCAAGTGTGTGTATTGTTAAATTTCACTTTTTAACGTTAGTCAGGAACAATGTTGCAGAAATCCCGTCTAGGCGCTGGCCTGCCCCCTAGCGTATCACTATAATCAGTGGGCCGATTGGCTGGTTAGGCGGCTGACTAGACCGTTTAAGCGCCACCTAGTCGCTAACAACCTAGGCTTTCTAGGCATCGATTAGGCTAGCTAGTCGGCCGATTAGCTATTGTTCTTTTTTTTTTTTTTTTTTAAATGAGTTATTTCACTCAAAACAATATCGAATAATATAGTTTTGAGCAAAATAACTCTAAATTGTTCAAAGTCTTATTTAATATTTGAGTATTAAATATTTTATAATTATCAAGTCTTAAAAAATTAAAAAAATTCAAACAAATTTTTTAAAAAAAAAATAAAATAAAAGATACACGGGTGCCTAACTATTTTTTCAACCATGGTCAAGAAATGATAGGTCCATTAATAGATTATTTTTATCGAAGTCAAACTTGAAACTTTGGGGTTACCAAGTCGAGTGTGTGCACTAGGTAAATCCTATCTATCCTAGCTTGCAAAATGACGGGTTCAAACCAAGCAAGCCAATAGGTCGCTCCCACTGAGAGTCAAATTTGAAAACACGAGTTTACCAAGCCAACATTGTGACTAACTTGGCTGGAGTTGCCCCATCTGACTTATTTTCTCACCTTAATGTGCAATGAAGTTTCCATTTTTCTCACCTTAATGCCACAATTTGCCAGCATTTTAGTCTGATGATAAAATTATACTGTGTACTATATTGTTAATGTAGTAGCAGAAACATACACCATATTAATGTTAATAATTCAGCTGAATGTTTCTTCTATAATCTTTCCTTATTACTGTGTGACTAAATATTTGATGCTATAGTAAACCATCAAATGCTATAAAGTTGATGTTAGATTTCTGGTGGGATCCTGTTTTCTCAACAGCTAAAGTAAACCATTTATTTGTAGATAAAGTGCCAAACAGCTACAGATGGAATTGAAACTCCCGAGCCATGGAACTTCAGTATCTCGTACGACAAGTTGGTAGTTGCCGCGGGAGCAAAACCCTTAACCTTTGGAATTAAGGGAGTGTTGGAGCATGCTATCTTTCTTCGGGAAGTTTACCATGCTCAAGAAATAAGGAGAAAACTCCTCCTAAACCTGATGCTGTCTGATGTGCCCGGTATGCATGATTGCCATAATCTTAGTTTTTCTGGGCTGTAAGTGATAATATTGAGTTATTGACTGTTGGACTCATTCCCAAATTGGTTATGGAATGAGGCAGGAGTTAGCAATGAAGAAAAGAGCAGACTCCTGCACTGTGTTGTCGTTGGAGGTGGCCCCACGGGAGTTGAGTTCAGCGGGGAGCTTAGCGACTTCATCAAGAGGGATGTTCATCAAAGATATGCTCATGTAAAAGATTATATTCATGTCACACTAATTGAGGTAAACCGTTCTAATTCCTTGTACAATTGTACTTGTCTTTAAGAAAAAAAAAGGGGAATCTTTTGGAACAAATGTGGTGACATTCTTATTTGCTTCTCGGTATGAAGTATAAGTGTAGTTATGTTACTGTTAATTTGAAATTGGATTGGGATGTCTTCGTAAATTGTAAGTGACGATTATTCCTTTGCAGGCTAATGAGATTTTGTCTTCCTGTGAAGATAGTCTTCGTAAATATGCAATCAAACAATTGACAAAGGTGAGATTGATTGATTGCAAATATGCCATTAGTATGCCTATACGTTAAATAATCTGCATGTTTGAAATCTAAGATTAGAGTTTCTCGTTATTCTTCACATATAGAACACAAATAGTCTGTTATGAGAAGAAAGGTTTTACCAAAGGATATCTTCATTGCTGACACTTGCACAAGTTTGAGTAATTTGCCACGCCCTTTATGTCCCTCTAGCTGCCTTAAGGCAGGAAAAATCCTTCTTGAACTATGTTATTATTAGGCATTTATTTACTACATAATATTTATGCTCATCTGTGGAGCGTAAGTCGCTTAATTGCTAATCTATCAATTTCCAGTCAGGAGTTTGTCTGGTACGCGGGGTTGTACAAGATGTGCAACCAAAGAAGATAATTCTTAATGATGGCACGGAGGTCCCCTATGGCTTGTTAGTGTGGTCTACTGGGGTTGGACCGTCTTCGTTTGTGGAATCTCTGGATATTCCAAAATCTCGTGGAAGGCAAGCTTTAGATTTATTAATCAATTTGTACTTTGCTTTCTGCTCAATTTTGAAGTATTTCTGATTTGATTCCCCTTTGAAGGGTTTTGACTCTGGTGAACGGATTTACAGGATCGGAGTTGATGAATGGCTACGTGTCCCTAGCGTGCAGGATGTATTTGCAATCGGGGATTGTTGTGGCTTCCTCGAAAGTACAGGCAAGACAGTACTTCCAGCCTTGGCTCAGGTGAAATTTTATGTGACTAATGAATGCATCAGTTATTTATCCCCAAGATCCATGAGTGACCTTTCATGTTGAATGCTCGATTAGGTTGCAGAACGTCAAGGAAAGTATCTGTCAACGCTAGTGAACCAAATTGGCAAAGCTGGCGGGGGGAAAGCGAATGCTGCCAAGGATTTTGACCTCGGGGATCCATTCGTTTATAGGCATTTGGTCAGCATGGCAAGCATAGGCCGGTATAAGGCGCTTGTTGACCTTAGGCAGAGCAAGGTTAACTAACCTCTACGTTTAAACATATACTCTTTCTTCTCTTTATCTGGTGGATTATGCTTATTACTTATACTGCACTCCGTGCAGGAGGCGAAAGGCGTATCGTTGGCAGGATTCACGAGCTGGTTTATTTGGCGCTCGGCTTACCTGACTCGTGTGGTCAGCTGGAGGAACAGATTGTACGTTGCTATCAACTGGTTGACGACTTTGGTGTTTGGTCGTGATATCAGTCGGATATAAGAAACGACCCACCAAAAGGCGCCCTCGGTTCATTCCCGATGCCTGCAGAAACGCACCGCGATTTGCTGCTGCTCGAGCTCAGTTCTGACATCATTACTGCAGTTTTTTCTCTGCAGATGAAAAGAATAACTTCTTGCAATTCAGAGTTCTTTGTTTCTTACTTTTCTTGCATTCTTTTTCATCTGTAAATCTTTGACAAATAGAAAGTGGATGGATTTCCTTTATTAACTTTGTTAGTTAGAATCAATTAAAGTTAGTTAGAATCAATTAACTATGAATAACATAATCTGATTTACCTTATTATAATTTTTTAATAGAGTTTTTTGCACTTTTGGTCCCACGACTATAGTGGCATTAGCAGAATTGATCCACGACTTTTGAACCTTGCAATTATAGTTCACGACTATTGATTTTTTTGCAAAAATGATCCTTCCGGCCACTTTTCTGTCAAAATTCCACCGGAAAAAAATTCTTCATTTTTAACAGGGCTAAAATTGACATTTTACTTATCTCAACAATATATATATATATATATATATATATATATATATATATATATATATATATATATATATATATATATATATATATATATATATATATATATAAGCGATTGCATTTGAGAATCTCCGCCGCTTCTCTCGCCGAAAATCTATACAACGAAGCTTTTTCGATGTCTTCGAATGATCCGGCAGGCGTGCTGGCTCCGCCTTCAATTCTGTTGCCGGATAACCCAACTAGCCCGGGGAACGCCATGGCCACTCCGCCGCTTACTGACAGCCCTGCCTGCTCCAGGAACTCCGCCGCCGTAGTAGTATGTAGCCCAGTAATATTGTATGTAGTCAAATGTCAATTTTTTTCTTTTATTTTTTGAGATAAGTAAAATGTCAATTTTAGCCTTGTTAAAAATGGAGAATTTTTTTTCCGGTGAAATTTTGACGAAAAAGTGGCCGGAAGGACCATTTTTGCAAAAAAATCAATAGTCGGAGACTAAAATTGCAAGATTCAAAAGTCGTGGATTAATTCTGCTAGCGCCACTATAGTCGTGGGACCAAAAGTGCAAAAAACTCTTTTTTAATACAATAATCATACTTTTTTACTTATTTGACTTCCCTTTCGAGTTTCGAGGCTCCTTGGCCGGCTTTTGATGGCTGGAAAAGATTAATTGAAGTGCAAAAGGATAATACAAAGGAATGGTCTAAAAACAGCAGCCAGACATGGACTGAGTCAACTCCAACAATAATACATTATAAAAAGACTAAAGAAAATGTTTTGTTGGATAATGCCAACAAATTTTCCTCGTACGGTTGCCAGAATGGAAGGCAAAGCCGGCATCAATGTCAGCAAAAACAAGTCTCATACTGTTGTGTAAACAAGACAAGATAATAATGGTGAGCATATAACTATGTGCAATTTAACTATCAATTTAAGTTTTTAGTTGAAATGGAACACATGTTTCAATTTAGTATTAGAGTCATGCCAAAGGTCATAGACTAATTTATGATGTCTAGGCAAAGAGATAATGCTTCATGTTGTAGAAAATAAAATGCTAATATTCCCATTAGTATTTAGGGAAGTTAGATAGCACAGAAACAGAAAATAAAGAAGGGGTGAGGTGAAAAACAACAAAATTAAATGGTAAAGAATGAAATTTGAAAATCAAAATCCAACATCTCATACAATTATTATTCAAAGATGTCTACAAAAGTATGATATATGGTATTACAACATAAGCCAGCTTTGAAGAAATATATGTAAGAACCTTGAAAAGATGAGCAGGAAGGTTTCACCAGGCCCAGCTTCATTATTCAGATCCTTTCTTTGATTGTATTCATTCACCAACTAAGCTGTGAATCTAAAGCAAAAAAAGGAAAAAATTCAAAAAATGGTAAAAGAAATTGTTAAGGATTACACCCCAAAAAAAATATGCAGAGTTAATGTATCTCATTTATGCCATGATCTGTTCTTGTTCCATGTATATCTGCTGGTCTCCCCAGGTGGGATGCATCTCGGGACTTCCTTGATAATACTGAGGATCCTCTGAATCGATGAATTGGCGGGAACTTACAGCGGGGGTGTCCCTCACTAGAGACTGAACCCACGAAACGTCGGGCTCATCAGCAGGCGTCGTTGGGAATGGAGTTCCAGTTGTGGCGTAAGTGGTGCCACTGCTGCTTCGGATGCCAAAAGAAGCGGATTTTCTCAACTTGCTGAGCTCGTCCTTTTGCATACCCCAATCCAATTTGCCATCGGGGGAGCCCCACCCGGAAAGGGTTGAAGGCATTGCGGTTACAGGAGACATTGGCGAAGAGATCATACCATGGTGGTGGCACGGGGCACTGCGGTCAATGAAGCTCTGGCTTCGTTTTGCAAATGCTGCAGAGCGTGCTGCATTCAGAGCTGCACTCGAGGGATCTCTCTGGAACGATGGTGTTCTAACCGGGCTTGAAGAGTGATGGGGGGATGGATAGCCCGACACGAAATTCTGCCTTAAATGCATTCCCTTTGGGGATTGCAAATGGGTTGTTTCATTATCCCGCAATAGTCCTTGTAACTTAGCCAGAATATTGGGATCCAACGTCTCGAAAATATCGTCAAGGTTTGTGGGGTTTAACCCGGGATGCCTACTCATTTCCCCGTTTAGATCACCAGATGGAGCAGTCGAGAAACTTTTTCTCTGGCTGGATGGCGAGGAAAGAACAGAAATTTCATCCATTAGTCCAAGTAGTCCAGAATCTAAATCGGAATCCCGGGCATGAATTGAAGTTTTCAACCTGCTACCGGGCAGCTGCAAGGTCGGTGTGGCAAGGCTAATCTGATTAGGCCACAACGAACGACCCCTAGGAGAGGAAGGCCCGGAAGGAGTGAGAGGTGGTGTTGAGGTTGGGGCTATCATCATAGATGGAGAACCGAGGGCAAGTGGGCTAACCGATGCAATATCCAGCGGTGAAGCCCCGAGAGAGTATGATCTAGGAGAAGGCACTGCAGAACCGATTGAAGCATACAAAGGCCGAAGCTCTTCGGGTCTGTGGGCAAAGAAACACACCCTTCTGTTGCAGCTCGACTCGTCCTTGCACATACGTGTCCGGTATTGCGCAGGGTGAAGCCAGCACTCGAAGATTCCATGAGCGTATTCGCAAGAATCTCCCCGCTGGCACGTCCCCTTGCGAAAATCGGGACAAGGAACGCAAGTATAGTGGAACTTCCTCGGGTCACGCCTTCTTGCGTTCTCGCCTGGATGAACAAAGGGGCACTCGGTCCAGTCATGAGAGTAAGCCCTCGAACACGGCTTCACCTTAAAAGTGTACATTCTGAACTCATCAGTCCCATAAATCCCGTTCTTTATGTCTGGAAGCGAAGGATCAATAGGATACTCTTTCTTCTCGCTTCCATCTTTCAACACAATTGGACTCAGCACCTTTTGTTCTTCTATCTGTTCAAAAGTATCCCGATCAATCAACCCAAACCCACCGGTTTCTTGACTTTCTTCAACATCACTCTTGCCTTTAAGAAGGTGTTCCACCGTCTTCCTTCTATGGCCAAACACACCGGGGGCGATGAGGTCAGCAGCCCGCTTTCCATTAGCATCCACCAAACCCGCATCAGCAGAAGCATCAAGCAAGAGCTTGACAACCTCGGGCAACGCAAGAGAGCCACCAGCAACAGCACAGTGAAGAGCCGTAGCCCCATCAGAGCCACAAGCTCGGTTAACATCAACGCAACCCTTCTCGAGAATATAGCTTAGCACCCGTTTGCTACCAAAATACGAAGCAATCAAAAGGGGCGTCCTCTCCTCGTTCCCCATCTTTCTCGACCCAATTCTTCTCCCATACCACAACCCTGACTCATTGATATCACAACCCTCTTCTTCAACAGCCTTTCTAAATCCATCAAGATCATCAGCAGCAGAAAACTCAAGCAAAACTGAAAAACCAGACATAAAGCCCTCTTGCTTTTGAGCCTCTCCTTCCATACCTAGATCATCAACACCCTCTTTCCTCCTAGACCCACTGCACATGTTATCCTCTCTAAACACAGCAAAGAACAACAATTCAATATGCAATCTTTGCTCTTTAATACATAACAGACACCAATAAGAACATTAAAAAAGATCCAAATAACACAACCCAATTCTTAAAACTTTCCAACATCCTAAAATCCATATGTTCTTTACATGTTCACACCAAAAACACAGCACCCAAGGTTTAAATTTACAACACAATCCAATCCTAGTTGTGAATCGCTGTAAAAAGGAAATGAAGGGTGCTCAAAAAAAAACATCTTTAGCAAGAAAAAGTCTAGAATCCGCAAAGTTAACATTTACAGGATCACAACCAAAAACGAAAAGAACTGAGGATCATATCAAAGCATGCTTCAAACACAGTATAAATGACCAAATAGAGTATGGGAAAAGGCATACCTCAGCTTGAGCAGAGCAGGAAAGAAGAGAATTGTAAAGAGAAAGGGTACAAAAAAACCCGGGTCTCCCGCAGAGAAAAAAAGGGTGCGCTACACTCCAAATTCAAGAAACTGGGCTCGCTATGAACGCTACGCAATTTCCCTCCCTCTCTCTTAAACTACACATCCATGAAAGGGAAAGGTTGAGAGAGAGAAGGAGAGAGAGAGACAAAGACAACATAAAATGTTGAAAATTTCAATCCATAAATATGCAAAGAAAAATAAAGAAGTATTTTCCTTATTAGTCAAAAAGTTTAGTCTACCATTTACAAAATTACAATAACCCTACCAATAAGCTTCATTGCCTTTTTTCTCATTTTCAAATTTTTTTGAATATTATTGACTCTATTAAAGATTTGTTATATACTTTCTCTAATTATCGTAATTTAAAGAGTCAATATCTCATCATCGAGGTTCGATCTTGTGACATTCTTCAAAGAAAGTCACAGAGCGTATCATCTAAGAATTTAGTACTATGTATTATAATAAACTAATTATAAATATATCACAACATCGATATGGTAGTTTAATATCGTTTATATGTATCTATA